CTGAGGCCCTCACGAAAATTCCAAAATATCCACCATATTTATTCCAAAAATTTAATTGATTAATTAAATATTCCTGAATTCCCCGGATTTTCCTGACTTCCCTAATTTCCGTGCGATAAAAATGTCGACGGAGTAAAAATTAAATCGGCCCAACCTCCAAACGATCCACTATATTTTCTGGAAAAACAACTCGTCCATAAATCAATAACACGCGACAACAAAATGGTGGATAATGAAAATATAGTCCATGAATTCAGTTAATACCATAACGCCCCGTATGGTTATTCCAGGTGGTTGGGGCAAGCGACGGAGAAAGGCTATTGATGAAGTGCAAAGTGGTTAACGATGTAGGAGGACTAGGCGGTCAGTTTGCCCGAACTATATAGAATCCCTGAAAATACGACAACAAAATGTAACCTTCACCCTCCGTCGCTCCACCCCCACGACGTATATTCTTCGCGAAAAAAATCGAGTAAACGTAAAAAGCCACCCTAAGTGCATTTACCGAAAAATTCCACTGCTAATTTTATTGCAACACAACTTCTTCCCCTTTTTTCCCTCCACCCCCTCCCATCGAAAAGATCGCTCCTCTCTATTTCGTCCTCGTGTACGTAAAAAATCCAATAGATTTTTTTCAATCGCATGCAAAGAAAAAATTTTCCAATTAAATGGAGTGAAATTAATAAATAAACATTATGTGAATAAATAATAAATGTATAATATGGAATTAAATGAAGTCGAGATGAGAAATCAAAGGAGATTAAATAATTTTAAATGTTATGGAAAATATAATAAATGATTAAAAATAAATTTACCTCCTGGAGATGTGGTGGAAGGGGGTTGTCCTCCGCACTGTTGCCCTCCGGAGAGGCTCCCGTTGCTTCCCCCGTTGTTATTGATCTTTCTCAGTTGTTTTTTATGCTTCATCCGACGATTTTGAAACCAAGTCTTCACCTGGGTCTCGGACAGGTGGAGGGCTGCTGCTAGTTCCACTCTTTCTGGAGTACTCAGGTACCTCTGGGCCTCAAACCTCGCCTCCAAACCCGCTAATTGTTGATCACTAAAAACCTATAATCCACATTCCATCATAATTCCATTTTTCCAAGAAGAATGCAGACGGAAATTAAAACACAAATGGAAAATCATTGAATCCCAATTTATGAATTTTATTCAATAATAAAATTACCCCTCAAAATATTCCAAATAAATATTATAAAATAAATATATTACTCCGGGAAAATATCAGCCCGATAAATTTCACAAGTCCAGATATTACGATATCATTATATTATTTTTTAAAATATTGCAAATGAAGGAATTATGATATAAATTCTTCACTGCGCAGAATTACGGAATTATTTTTGCGTACATTAAGAAATCGATATATTTTCCATTCGAGGCATCGATTATATCGTTATTTAATGATTTGAAATATCGAAAAATTATTGATATATTGACGCCTGTCAGCTGTAGGAATTAAAAATTCGAGAGTAATTACGGAAAAAATTACCAAAAATTGCCAATAATTTCCCAAACCCGATAATTAATTGTTTTTCTTATAATGTTTCGAATAAATTATTATTTTATTCCGTTTAACCATTGATTTGTTTAAATATCTTCATTCGATCATCAATATCTTTCATTGCGATTTATCGCGGTAATATTTCGAGTTATTATTTTAATGGGTAATCGATATAAAATTCGGTAGATATCGGAATCCTCACAGTTCGCGCTTTTCTTCTTCTGCAATGTTTGAGTGCAGCGAGTTCATTGACACCAGGTACAACGCCCATACCAGCGGTGCCAAACAATGGTCCAAGGAAGAAGGCAGCTGGAGGTCCAGTGGAATAACTCGGCAGGAGGCTGGCAAATGGTTGGTACTGGTGATGATGATTGTGCCCTGGAAACTGATGATGAACGTGTCCCTGATTGTGAGCTACCTGATGGACACTTCCACGGCTGAGGATGTCCTCGATCAGGAAGGATGTCCTGCTGGCGGAGCTGGCGTTGGGCTGGGGCACCTGGTGCGGTTGACAGGTCGACTGCATCATCTTTACGACCATTAATCACCTGTCATTACCGCATCATCACTTTTCACACATCACACACTTCCAGAATTCTAATTAACCACATAAACTCCTTATTTTAATTACCCCAACATCAGATTTATTACCATATCCAATGGTAATTCAATTAATTTTTTCAATGATTTTTACCCAGAATTCACGATTTTTTCAGGTTTCTCACGAATCGTTTATCGATTTCACCCGCAAAAACGTACAGTTCTCACATTTTATCATGACATAATAATTGAATTATCATGCAATAATTCCGGTAAATAGCGGTACCTCCGAACCGCGAAAAATTTCACGGACACTGGACTCTCCAGACCGATTCGTTCCTGATAATTTCAGATCACAAAGTGAACCGTCAATTAAATATATCCCGATTGCACCACAAAACTCTCACACTCGGTCTGACAATCCATGGATTATTCCACTGGTGGGAAGACAATTCTGGACTCCAGGAAGACCTCCGGAGATCGTGACTCAAGACTCGAGTACCAGTAGGTCAAATAAAATGTTAAAATTAACGATTGACACGTGTTATCATTGTCAAAGCCATGTTAGACACTGGACACCGTTTAACCCCTATCGGTACGTCAACCTGGTGATTGAGGAATCGTTCGTCTCGACTGCCATCTCCCTCCCACCCCCATGGGGGGCATTTTGTACTCAGTCAAGGGAGGGGGGGGGGGGGGGATATCCATTGTACAATGGAACTACCCCTGCGAGGGGGTTGACACATCACAACGTATCCCCATTCGTCGACGGTTTAACTTCACCCTCCAATTGGCTGATACCACCACCGTGGGCGTCAACTTCAGCTGCCAGCTGTTGCCATGACAACATCAACCCCCTGAGCTGGAAAACTTAGGGCATCGCGGATTCGCGAATGTGTGCACTGGTTTTCAGGACTATCCACCGCTTTATCTGGATGTCTTGTCTGGTACGAGAGCTTCAATAAAATATGCTGATTCTTTATTTATTTCTCTTTTTTTTTTTATTACGCTTTTTTTACACTTGGTGCACACCGTGCATGTTTATTCCTCGTGGAATGGTATTGATGGATTCTCTCAGGGCTCTTCGCTCTTCGGAATTTAGGATCCTGGGGGGAGGGATTTTTTATTGGCTGCCTGGGTTATTGAGTTTTGATATATTGAATCTGATGTATCCGGAACACAATTCGGAATTACACGGCGGAAGTGTTCCGGCAATTTGTGAATTATTCTCCAGATTTCGGAGTTTTTTATTCGCGGATAATATTGTTGAGATAATGAGATGAGATGGATAAGAATTTATTATGGAAAATCTCTATTTTATGGGGGATTAAATAATGGCGGGTTTTGCGGTTCGAGTGCTTTGGTCACGGGGCACTATCTCAAGATTATTCAATTTTATTATTTATTTTCTGGTCGTATAGTTCACTAGGACGTGTGTAGATCTCATCATGCGAATGCACTATTGTTTTCTCCTGCGTTTGTCTCTTGGTACGTGCGTGGAAATGATAATTCGGGGAAATCCACTCGGAAAATTGATCAATTCAGCGCTTTGCTAATTCAGGGGAGTCCCTGTAGACATCTAAATTTTCTATTTCAGCCCCAGAGTGATAGCTGCACCCCTCAAATACCCAAACAACCCCAGAGTCATCTCAGAATTTCAATAAAAAAAATGATGAGCAACCCCGCAACTCGTGCGGTTGAAAATTAAATAAAACAATAATAAATAATAATACTAAAAAATCGGGACTCGACGAGTCTGAACTTTTTATTATAAAAATTTGAAAACACATATTTAAATAATTAATCACGTTATTATTACTGTGGAATTCATTTCTCGGGGATTCTAGGGATTTATCTCAGGATTTGTCATTTGGGGGATAAAAAATCGAGGAAAGGAATTTTTTTTTTTTTTTAGTGAACATGTGATTGTTCAGCCCCTGATGATAAGAAGCCGCAGGAAGTGACGTTGAACCTAGGACAAACCCCGATGGCGCGTGCCGGCATTTAGGAGAATTTACCTCTGCGATTATTGAGTAAATTAACGTTAGGGTAATTGCATTACTGGCGCGTGTCTATTCGCCATCGGTCCTTCCTTCGGGTAAATTGCTAGTATACAGACTGAATCCTCACCCTCACCATTATTCGTGGACAATGTACACTCGGTGTTAAAGCCTGAGTCTCAAATTTCGTATGAGCGGAAAAAAGCCCTTGAGACTTGTTAGCGATGGATTCGGCTTTCTGTTTGGAACATTTTTTTTTCGACCTAACCGTCGCTCGTTAGAGAATCCGTGACGATTTGGATCAAGTGATGTCGAGGGATAATAAGTCACCGGGAAAGGATTTATTTTGCTCAATAGGTTGATTAATTATTCATTAAAAAACACAGGATATTCAAATTTACAGAAGCAAAACACGAGATAATGATTTTGGTATTGATTAAAAAATATGTAGGTGAAAATTCAGCGAATATCTCCGGATCTAAGAGAGATAACGAAATTTTTGTTAAAATCATTTTTATAGAGGGGAACAAGACCTGGAGAAAAGGTTATTACAAAAATTTCGATATCTCTCCTCGATTCGGAGATTTTCAAATACTCGTAAAATCTTAATTGATCACATCTCAATTTGCTTTGAAGACATAATAAAAAAATTAATATAAACTCGCTATCGATCAATTAATCAATTAACCGATAATCAATTAAAATCTTTACCCCCTTAATTAATGAAACAAAAATAAAAAAAAGAGGATTATTAAAGTTAATAAATAAATACACCGCAGTAATTCCGACATCTTTATATTTTAATAATCTGAATGAAAATATTCACTATAATAAAATTTATCAATTGGAATGAGTTGAAAGATGAATGACAGAATGCCGATGTCTAGAAATCGTTATCGGTGTAGGCGCGTTTGTAGAATGCCCTGGAGAAGGTCGCGGGATTTTGTTCATTGCAGAAGAAATACCCCCGACGCCAGAGTAAAAAGAACGTCAGAGCAATAGGAATGGCGAGTAGTAATCCTATCATGAGGCCGACGAGGATGGCAGCATCCCGTTCAGGGCGTGCCCCATAAAGATCTGGACACCTGAGCTTTCGATTAGCAAGAGATACAAGAGTTTTACCCGCGTGTTCCGGTGGCGATGCGCAATACAACTTCTTCATGTTATCACCGAGAAGAGGTTTTCCCAGCTTCGGCAGCAAATTACCCACCTGTAATTATCATTTATTTATTGAATTTTAAGTGGAAATTTATTTTGGGATTGAAGATGGTATTTACGAGGAATTGATTGTCGCAGTCGCAGCCCCACTGATTGTTGGTGAGATCTAATTGCTCTAATTTATCCCATCGGCCCAGGAGAGTCGACGGGATGTACTCCAGGGCATTGTCGGAAATATCGAGGCCTTTCAGGGGTGGCCATATCGCTCCGTGATTGGTCTGTAATTGATAACATCAAGAAAATATTTTTTATACATTTATTTGTCGATTATTCTAATAATTTCACGAGGAGACGATGAATATTTATATTGATAGTGATCGTGATTGGTTTTTATCAATTCGAAGATTGTTTCTCCTTCTTCAAGTATTAATGATTATTTATTATTTATTTACTGATTTATTTCAGGCTTTCAATGAATTAAATTGAGAGGATAAAATGATCTTCGGGGTGAATGACTCACGTGTTGAACGAGGGCATTTTCACTGATGATCCTGAGCTTCGGGCAATCGTCCAGGTAGAGATACTCGAGAGCTTCGAGATTGGAGAATGCACCGGATTCAACGGCAACTAGATCTGGCATCGAACGGAGTCTCAAGTCCTTGAGATGCTGAAGATTCGGGAACGAACTCAATTCCCCTAATATTTTTATAGGATTCTCGTTCATGCTCAAGTATTCGAGGGCTGTTGCATCCTGGAGGGCAAGTGGTACCCCAGAAAACCGATTGCCGTTCAAGTGCAGACGCTTCAAGGTATCTCTAAATTAAATGGCGAGATTACATTATCTCAGTTAATTAAGGATTGATATTCAGTGTACTGGAGAATTTTCCAAAAATATTTTTGTGCTTTTGAAATAAATCGGTATGTCTTTGAGATCCAGGAAAATATTCTCATATTTTATTTTTCAAGGAAGAAAATTACTTGGGTACGTGGAAGATAGTGTCCGGAAGCCCCTGGAGTTGGCAATGACTCAAATCCAATTCCTCGAGAGCAGTGAGCTCCCCCAGGGCATCCAGGGTGGCGTGATCAATGACGGAGAACGGATTTTCAGTGAGGATCAACACCTTGAGATCGGTTATGTGCTCGAAGAGGTCCTGATTGAGAGTATGAAAATTATTGCGACCCAGATTTAAAACGCGCAATCTCTCCAGCGGTTCCCACTCGACCGGTGAAAATTTTCCCTGGAAAATAAAAAATACCGGTGGCAATACCGATTGAGGATGAAGCATTCGGGAACAATCGAGATTACCTCGAATATCTCCGGCCTCAGAATCTTCGACGTGAGCTGATTATCACTCAGATCTAATTCCGTGAGATTTGTTATCTCAATGAAAACTGCATCATCGATTTTCACGATTTTATTCCCAGTGAGAATTAATTTCTCAATCGTGACGTTGGGAAATTTCCTGAGATGAACGATTCTGTTGCCCTCGAAGGTGACGGACCTCAGGATTACCCTGGGCCACTCGTCGTCCGCGAAATTCTTATCTAATTCGCGTCCGGTGCAGTTAATTGACGCGTCTAGATCGTGAGAGAAAATACCGATTATTACCGATCCACTCGATAATTATTTCACCAACTACAAAATATAAAACTATTTCCACAGAAAGTACAAGTGCAGGGGTGATTAACAAATCATTGTTATTACCATTATTAATGATAATAACTCAATTATAATTGAAAATCACTGGATTATAATTGATACCTTGACAATCGCAGGTTCGGCAAATACTCGAGTTATTAATCGAAGAGATGGGACTTGTCGGTTCAGTGGGTCCTGGGAGTCCTGACCTCGAAGTGAATTCGTCCTGAGAACTGTTGACTCCCAGGACGAGGAGGAAAGCACAAAAAATAAAATAATTCATTCTGCTCTCGCGGTTAAAGACTGCCGTAATGTTAGAGTCGTGTGTATCAATGGGGTACACCCTGATAAGGTGGTCATGACGATAAGATACGAGTGTTACTCATCCGCCAGTTACTGGGAACAGGTGAGTTAACACCGGTCGACTGATTCTACCAGAATCTGAAATAGATATTGAATTTTACGATAAATCCACTCAATCAGTCCCATCTCCGCGCCTGAAAATCATCAGGTGTGAGAACATCATGACCTGAATTAATTCTGCAGTCAGATGTAATAATAATATGAAAATAAATATCAGTAATTAAATTTATTTGAGACTCACGAATAAAATATAAAAATTACAACTTTCAAAAAAATCCTCAAAATGGAATCTCAACAGAAGATTTCCATAATTAAGGAATATTAAGGAATTAATTAATTAATCGATTATATAGAAACCCATTAGAAATTCAAATCACCCGCCGCTCTGGAGCGCTCCGGATCTAGTGACTTTTCGATTCCCTTTCGAGATTCCGGATTTATCGACAGAGGATCACCTCTCAATCCTCACCGATCGATGAAGATGATACCCCGAAGAGATTAATAATTTTCTTTCAACTCTGAATTCTACTTCTGCTCCTCTAATTCGGAATCCAACGAGTGAAATGAAAAAGATAAAAAAATCGCGAACGAAAAATAGAAAAAAAAACCAGAAATTGACAGTTGGCAGGCCTGCCCCCAGTCTCCCTAAAACCCATCGAAAAAGTATTGAATCGATGACGTCACAAAAGAGACGAGACATCGGTGGAGGGGAGAGGAGGGCCTGTACGTGGGGGCAGTGGCGCGCCAGTGTTGAAAAAAAATGTTGCAATTACACTAATTCATTATCATCCCGAAACAGATACGGATTGTTGTCAGTGTGTGACTATCGAGACCTAAACACCCACCCCAGTGGAATTGTGATAAATTGTGTTCAACTCCCACCCCACCACCCAAACAATTAATTATCGTGAATACACATACACGTGGGGAGATTACACATCGGTGAATCGTTTTTTGGCAGCTGAAAATATTCGGTAGTGCGTCGGTGACCCGAAGGCAATCCTTCACACCCTGAATTTCACTTGACAAAATTATCACGACATAAACACATTTATCTGGACAAGTGTTTACCACCTGATTGAAGCACTGGGTGAATTATCTGAACTTCCACCTGGAGCTGGAGCCAACGGTGAAGATTTAAGATTTCTATAATTTTAATATGTAAGTTTTGAGTGGTGATTTTTCCAGTGGATCATTGAGGTTAGGTTATTATATTGGGAATTCGGTGGATTTTAGGGTGATGACTTTATCATGCCCCGGTGTCATTACCCCGATTCTGCGTTTTTCATTATACATCAGGTCATTCACGTAATTAATCCATCAGTTGAGCAATTAACACTCCATTCTCATTCAATCTGGAGGAGTTGTTGGCAACTCCCGGATTTCAATCTCCGATAAGTCGGCACTCGCAGAGAGAAATCCATTGAATTTTCGGCGGTTTCGATGCGGTTTTTAGGGGTTCAAAACAAGCCCTTGATTATCGAAATGGCATCATGGGGAAGGGTGATAGTGGCGGGTGAAGGAGGTGACGGTTTACTCGCTTCATCTGGGAGAAGAAAATACGTATTTCTGTCGCATTCAATTAATTCGGAGTGGAATAAATTCCACTGGGAATTTTTCATTTTTTACTATTTGAGTGTCATTATAATAATTATTATAATTATAAATATTGAGTATTGACTATCTATAATAGATTCTCGCTGGAATAAACCGGCGATTCTCTCTGCTAAATTCACCCATGAATTATCAGCTCAACTCATCCCATGATCTCATTCGTTCTCATTCGTTCTCATTCATCAGACACTAATTATTTTAAAAGGTAAATTGAAGTTAAGTAGCAAGCTCATACTGTTGATTGCCAATCGATAATGCAATTCTGTTCGGCTGGGCTGAAAATTCTCGCTGGATTACGACGATTGCGCGACTCATCATCCAAACACAAATCCATTTTATTCCATATTTGTATACGTGTTTTGTTAGTACATTGAGTTGCGCACGAGTAAATCGGACAATTAAACGCGCGAGTACGGAATTATAGGTTAGTTGGGATAATACAAGGGCCGATGAGGGGTGGGTTGAATAAAAAAAAAAGGGAAGGCTAAGTGGACACATGGAGCCTGCGCCCTGGACGAGTCCTGATCGCCACCACGACTCCCTTTTTCTCGGGATCGAGTAAGAACCCTTGGAATTCCATCCCCATGTCGTGTCCATCACCTCCGGATGACGAATCCCTCGGAAATTTGCGAGTGCAGGAAATAGACAAGACAGGGGAAAGAGAAAAATTTCGGGAGAAATTTTGATATAGAAAATTGATAAAGTTATTATTTATCGAGTCTCTAATTTTTTTATTATGGATTATTATGGATTAAATTGAATATCAATTAATTTCCTTGTCCTATAAATTAATGAATTTTCTATTCGTCTGTTTTATTAGTAATTGGGTTAATTACTCATAATTGTTTCAATTAAAAAATAACACTAAACAGTAAAATGGAAGAAATAAATAATAATAGGAGATTTTTAACTGCTTTTCAAAGAATATAAATTCTCGTGCAAATACACTGAGAGATAAATGACTTTTGCACAGGCAAATGTAATTAAGAGAAGTAATTTGTTTTCGCAGTGTAGTCTGTAGTTTTTTCGGGCATATTTTTTTTCGCCGTGTGATTTTTCCAGCGGTAGTTTGCTCCCCCGAATTTAGAGGATTTTTCTAAGGACAGCAGTGCGCAGGGACAGGATGATGGCAGGCATTGGTCGCAGGCATGAGCCAGACGGAGAACTGGGTGGTTTTGTCTCTCGGGTGGTTTTGATGTCGACGTTTTATCCTCGGTGGCATCCTCTGTGTTTCGGACACGGGTACGAGTTGAATTGAGGGTTACAATAATCACGACGTGCACTGAGGATATGGTATTGATGTGAGTGTGACGGCTCCTGGAAAAATATATCAGTGAGTGGAGGTCAGGGGAGAGCGATATCGTGGGGGTGAAATCGAGGGATTTGATGGGTCCTCTTGGACGACGCTGTCCTCAATATCTGAACCACGTGGATCTCTGTGTTCTTGGGTGAATGACTGTGGGAAAGGGGATGACTCGAGTCTGATGTCATTCAGCACTGCGAGAGGTGAGCCGATAAAATTATTTCATATGCGAGATTCTGAGATTGGAAGAATTCTCCATCATGTTAGGTCTCCTTAATTATTCGTTTATCTCGAAAACTATCGATCTAAGCCGGATGGCTTGAGGAACTTTTCTGTAGCTCCTTGAATTTTTTAGAAAAAAGGTCTCTTGCTATTTTTTTCTGAAACTCGTAGATTTTTGGATGAATCGGTGGGTAACAAAAGTGGTAATATCAAGTTTTTATTTTTCATTTCTTTATTTTCTATAATTATCGGGTTTTGCTGGAAAAATATTGATTTGAGGAAAAATTATCAGAGGACTTTTTTAAAGTTTATTAAATTTCCCGCAAAAAAGGTCTTTTCATTTTTTTTCGCAAAGTTCATGGTTTTTGATCAATCGATATTTGACAAAAGTGTCAATTTGATTCTTTCTTAATTTATCATTTCGCTGTTAATTTGTGATTGGAAAGGTGAGTTTTGGGGAAAATTCTGGAGTTTCCCGTGTCTCCCATGAATTCTGGAGTCTGTTAGACTGATATATTAACAGAAATTATTCAAATTAATTTGAACTTTCTTCCCGCACCCGTGAAACTGCTCCACTATAAACTAAAGTACTCCAAGCAGTTCCTAAGAGTAAGAAAGATTAAACAGCCCTGTTTACTCTTCGCCATTATTTTTATTGAATGAACCATGGAGTAGTCAATAAACTTTTCAATGGCAGCCATTCCGTCTCTGCCCCAAACAGAAAGAACACTTCCACATTTTCAAATTATCCAAATTACCCGAATCACTTCAATCTCCAAATAAATTCTATTCCATTGAAAATTCCGATTTTCCAATAACCACTCATTAAAATATGCCATAAAAATTAATTGCAGGAAATACAAATAAAAACATTGCAGAAATTCGAAATTCATTTCATTTTGAAAATCAATTGCATTAATTATTCAAAAAAATATTAAAAATATTTTCGAATTCAAACAAATCAATGACGAATTGAGACTAAAATTCACCTGCAGTAATTCGAGGATGAAAAATCATGGAAGAATGGCGAGCCCCGAATATTCCATTGACACTGAAAACAAGTAAAACATGAAGGGGTGGTTTTACGCGTCTGGCATAGTTCTTCCGTGGGGGAGGGCAACAGCTGCGTCAAAATACCGCGGGCTCTGGAAGAATCCAAAAGCAATATTATGTGCACCAGTGGTATGAGGCAAATATACGTGGTCCACAGAAGATGATAAAGAAAAGAAGCGTGAAAGAAAAAAAAAAGAAAAGAAATCTCAAACTTTTGCCTGGACTCTGTACCCGAGTGGATTCTCATCGTTATATTACCGAGACTTTTATTCGAATACTATCAAAACTCCGGCAATGGAGTCAGCGATAATATTTTTAAATGAAAAGTCCAGGGGATGACGGTGCGACGATAAATATCGGGTTTGCCCGGAAAGATATGCTTTGGAAGCGCCACTTGCGAGTAATGGCGCTCCACAACGTGTATAGCCAGTTCTACCCTTTTTTTTTCCTCTTTTCTTCCTTTTTTCCCTCTTTTTATTTGGAGTCTTTTGCTCCTTTTTCGTCGGCACCTACCGCCTCGCACCCGGAGAGCCACTTCTCCCGGTGTCTCTTGCCCTTTTCCATTCCCACCCTGATCTTCATCTTCACATCCTCTTTCAGCCTGTCTGTCCCGCATTTTTCACACACTCCTGTCGTTCTTATTTCAGTCCAATTATCCCTGATTTTTTGATATTGATGAGCGTGATTCTGCCATTATTTCATTGACTTTTTTACCCAGTTACTCACACTGAGAGAAAAATTTCGTAAAATGCACAAAATCTATCTGTCACGAGCGAAAATTGATTATTCAATTCTATTATATTAATTAATAAACAATAAAGTTAATATTCGTTTAATTATTCTTTACCATCACCGGTCATTGCAATACACAATAATTAATTACTAATTTATATGCTGTACTGATGTCATTATTATTAATGATCCTTTTGGATTGTATATTGTTTATTTAATAGACATCAGGGAATATTGGGAGGTTTCACGTGAAATTTAAATTAGCCGTCGGATTTTTCGATTCTTGATAATCAAGAATATTAAAGGATATTTTCCATTGGGGAGTGATTTTCTCTCTATGATTTCGATGCATTTAATCGACGTTTCGTCGGAGATCTCCATGGATTCCTGGTTAATCTCCGATAGTTGTGATCCCGGATAAGTGGCTGATTATATCGAAATTTTCGATCTTTAAGGGGATTTTTTCGATGGGGTGGGCTCGATGCGTCGGTTTGATCTTTCATCATCTTTCCAGTATCTAGTGAAACGAGGTATAATGGATAGGTGCTCGTATCGCTCTATTACACCGGTACTTCCAGCAAAAAATATAAATATCATCTTAATACGTAAGCAGCAAGAACAAACGAGTGATAATTGCAATTATTTGCAATTATTTACAACATATACTTCCAAACAAACAATTTTTACAATCCACTCACACAATTTTCTAAGATCATCCCACCCCTGAATTTTATTTCAAACTCAAATTAAATTATAATAATTAATCAGAAAATAAAATTCAATCATTGATTAATTTAATTGATTAATTTAACTAAAATATTTTTTTAAATATTGGAACCTGAAAAGGGGTTACACTCACCACAATGGAATGAATTATTTAACCCAATCATTTTTTATATTCCAATACATTGTTTTTGTTTTTTTTTGTTGAGCAACTCTTGGTGAGTGCCGCAGCGTTTCATTTATTCATGTCGAATCGCACGGGTTCCTGGGGCCAAAAGAGCGCGGGAGTAAAGTGCGAGGGAGATGCCATCCTCCGGTGGGTGGTAGGGTGGGTGGGGTTGAGTAGGAGGTTTGAAAATTCGAGGGAAACGAGGGGCACGATGGTGAAGAATCACTAGGGTAACAAGGATAAGAGAAAGAACGAAAGGCGGCAACGACAACGTCGGGTTGCGCCAGGAGACGGTGGAGGGCCGTCTAATGATGACATTTAAATGCAGTACCGCTTGTTCGGTGCTTCGCGGTCTGTGCCTGATCCGCATCCCTGGAGTTAAAGCTACTTTCCCTGGGTTGGGAGACCTACCGGGTAAAAATCGAGACGAAGTTCCGTTGAGCTTTCGTAATGCTCCTGTATATATTGCTCCAGGCCAAGGGACTATTACTACTTATTCCGTCTACTTTTTGATTAACGAAATTCTAAATTCATTCAATTCCCAAGAATTCATTTATTCAAAGATTTTTTTTAAATAGAACAATTAGACTTGACGTTGAATTATTCAGCTATGTGAAGTTGGCATCGAAGTTTGAAAAATCTAACTTTTTTTTGTTGGTTTGGATTGTACTCATTGAGTACTTGAATGTAC